GCATGCTATTATTTCCTTTATTATGTTTGACTTGACAATATTTCCTTGTTTGTTTGTTGTTCAGTTTCAACTACTATATAAACCCCGCCCCAATTTCCCTTTTGGATAGACTTTTATCATCGGATTCACTTAAATTAAAAGCTATTGCTCTCTTATTATCTCATTCTTTTGTTCTAAACTTTGGCCCTTGGCCGGCTGAAAGCCAAGGCCACCAGAATTCGATTATTCGGCCTTTCTTAGTTCGAGCACTACCCGGGGTTCATTCGAAACCTTTGGGAACTCTGACGCACTAAGACTTTGGGTTCTACTGCTCTCTGTTCACGTTTAGAGTACTATTGAGGTTGTTCTTCTTGCTTATATGTTTATCAATTGATAACTAGTAAGGTTATTGGCCTTCGCAGTTTCATTCTCTTATGTTCATATTCTGCATGTTTATACCTCTGAAATTTTGTGACCCAATATGTTCCTGGGCCATCTCTGTTTGTAGCCTTGTTGGAACTAAATTATTTTTGTGACTCTGAACTTCTTTAGCATTTGAACTTGCCTAAAATTCCCAGTTCTGAGACATGCTTATTGCATATGTTTAACTTGAACAATTTTGATTCTCTTAAGCTCGTTTAGCCTAGTGTGTTCGTACCTGAATGCTTATATCTGTTGTCTGGCATGAGCTCACTTCCCTGCTTTGGTCTGAATTCTTGTGATGACGAACTCAAATATGTTCTAATCTCTGTTGAGACACTCATGCTCAACATGTTACCTTTCTGGAGTTCTACTTGTAAGCTATGACCTGTTCCCATGCTATTTGTAACTCTATTATGTTTTTTGGCTTTCTTAATCCTGTGTCCCTTAGTGATTAGTTGAGACCTTTAGTGTAAATATTATAAACAGTTTTTCTCCTATATGTGGCTAACTAGTATAAAGTTTGAGGTTTTTCTGTCCTATTAAGGTGGAATCGACATGTTTTGTTACCATAAGTTTCCTGGTATTGTGATGGATACTCAACATGATTAGGATTATCTTTAATTGTCATTCTCTGAATATGACTCTGCCTGACCATTCATAACTTGGATCCATAGGCTTTAAAGTCATTTAAGTTAGTGCTCTATATTTTGAACTCGTTTGGCATTGGGCATTCTGATATGTTTATCTTATAACCTTAGAGAAACTGATCCCCCTAACTCTCTCTCAATATGTTTTCCTGCTCAATATGCTATCTCCTGCTAAGTGTTTGAACCTGTATTGTCAATATCGACTTGCTATGATGAAGCTAAGCCTTATTGTTTCCCCTAGTTTGCATATCTTTGTTTAATCAGCCCTGTTATGTATGCTTCTAAAATACCAATGTTTTTTTTTTGTAAATTTTGTCACTTAGTCGTTGTTAGTAGGTCCACAATTCTTTAAGTAATTGCTATGTATATTTTTTTTTGTCAATTTGTGAACTCACAATTGCTTGGTAAGTGAGACTCCATCTGGGTTTCAACATGGGTCCAAAATATGGACTTGGACTGTGCAATTGATACACTTCAGTGCTTGAGCTGAGTTTGCATCTGGGCTCGCTATTCGTAGAAAAGTGAGCTTGTTGAAGGCCCAAGCAGTACTGGGTTATTTTCATTCTTTTGGGCCTGCTCTTGGGCCTGCAATTTTCTGTGTGTAATATTTATATTTATGTTAATTAATTGGGTATGTAATAATTTTTAATAACAAATAATTGGGGTGTTAGTGAAATTGGGGAAATAAGTATATTCTAACGCTTTCATAAAAGGGTAAAAAAACGTGCCTATACGGTTTATGTGATCTACTTGCTATTTTGTCCAACTTACCATATATGCTATTTGGTTTCATGTATTGTGCACTAGTAGAAACCATGCCTATAGGGAATTACACACTCACTCACTTTGTCTATTATCAGAAGCATGAGTTTAAATGCTTTACTTGTTCCCACGTCTACTGCAGTACACTTACTAGATAACATGCCTAAAGGGTTATATCAATTTATGCTCTACTAATCCTCATCTAGATACCATGTCTATAGGGCTTTAAGTGATTAACTAATCGACTGCTTCTGTTGTCTTATTACTCCGCTCACCTGGATAAAATGCCTATAGGAATAAGTGGTAAATCAACCAACTATTATTATAACCAAGTTATAAATACTGCTACTCATTTAGAAAGCATGCCAATAGGATCAAACGAGACTGATTCTGAGTTTTTCGATGGTTATCACTGCCCCTTTGCGCAAATCACTTAGGGATCATGTCTATAGGTTTTATAATCTGTAATCTCGATAATTCGAATAGCAGCACTGCCCTGAGACTTTCTTAAACTTTCTGGTCATTTAGAAACCATGTTTATAGGTTTAAAGCAACACCTCGAACTTGAAACTGCCCATAATTTGAAATATGCTCGTGTGCATTTGTTGTTGTGTGCGGAGGCTAACTTGGGCCTTAATTGTCTTTACGTGAAGTCCTATCTGTTTTGAAGGTCACTTAGTTTTTATCATTTTTGAGCAACCTAAGTAATAGGACCACCCAAATAGTAGGTCCAAAGCCTCCTGGACCATAGGTATGGGACGAGTAGTGCACACATAGGACGCGACTTAGAACTAAATTAGAACACTTTAGGTAAACAACTTCAACATAGTAATTGGGTAGCATGAGATGATAGTTTGTGCTCGATGAATAATATGAGCAACTCCTATCTAAAGGGAGTTGCGAAGTATTACTTATTTTTCATGGAGTGATACTTTAGGCTAAAAAACTTAGGACTTCTCTTTCTTTTATACAATTAGTCATTTAATTTCGATCGTTATAGTTGTATCCTTGTAGTCCTTAAGATATGTACCAATTCTCATTGTGTTATAATGAAACTCTTAGACTTTTATATTTTTATTTGTTTATTTGATCACCTAGCCTAATCCACATAGTCTTAAGTTCGGCCGGGACCCACAGTTGTGGACCTCGAAGAGTGCCTAACACCTTCTCGTTTAGGTAATTTGAGCCCTTACCCAATCTTTGGTGACACCGACTAGTTAAAACATAGTTATTTGCATAATAATTGCCCTAACGCACCTTAAAATCATTAGGTGGCGACTTTTCTCTTTTAAATCTTTCTTAAAAGAGTTGTCACACGTCAAAGCCCAATTTCGCGAGAAAAAGGGGCGCGACAGCATGGTGACTCTGCTGGGGATATACTTAGGCTCTTACCATAATGAATTTAGCTTGTGTGGATTATTTTTTTTGTTACATGCACATCCTTTTCCTTTCTCACCTTTATTTGTCTAATCTGCTATGACATGCACATCCATTCCCCTATTCACCTCTACTTGCTATGACCTCTCTTTTCTTGTCAAAATTGTTATATCATTCCTACTTCGTTACCTGCTTTTCATATATTCTATTAACTAAACTGACTTCTTCCTTTTGTTTTTCCTTTCTTTTATTTCCAATGTTTATTTTGCTATTGCATTTACTGTTTTCACATATCTTATCATGCAAATACTTGGAAACGTGTTATTATCTCGGCATAAAGCATGCTCCATATTATACTCCACTCGTGCCTATTATCAACATAACGACGCTTGATGAGTGTCCGCGCTCTTCCGAAAATTACGCTTTTAAATCGGAAAGGCTTATTTATGGTAGACTAGTCGATCAGCAGTGCAATCGACGGTCCTGTGCCTTTCCCTCTCAAGTTGTCCACTTTGGAGTACCAGTCTAGACCATTCTAGAAAGCCTACTCTAACTTGAAATGTACATGCATCATGCTAAACCTAGTACGGGTTGGAATGTTATTAATATAACAACCAGCTAAGATGAACCTCATCCAAAGTCCGACGGGATTTCCACAATCCCAATGGACGCTATCATACTATGTGCATTACTTGAAGAAAATATGCTAACGTATTGATAATTATTGTGTAAAATTTTTTGGCATTAATGAAATGACGCAAATATTGACATCAATTTTCTCCAAGTCTATGTGTCACTTAGGCCTACCTCAGGCAGAATGAGGTCCTCAAATTAGGACGCGAATTATTGCACGACTTTGTGAAACATGTTTTAATGTCGCAAACACTCTTTTAATATTCCTTACTAACTTGGTTACCTTTTGAGCATTTGAGACATTTTTCAGTATTCTGTTTTGAAATAATTGCTCGAGCTGTCGAGCCGCACTTGTTGTCGTTTTTAAGATTCTATTAACGCATTATTGCTTTTTGTATTTATTATTATTATTTTTATATTTTTTTCTTTTCAGCGTTATTATTACCTATCCCGATGAACCTACGATTGTGACATGTAATGAGACAACGCAACATGAGGATAGTGATTCAGTCAATCATTACTGACAATGCCGCCAATCTCAACATCTATTTGATGAAAGCCATGTGTGAAACATTCAAGATCAAACATAGGAACTCCACAGCATACATGCCGCAAACGAACGGAGCCGTAGAAGCCGCCAACAAGAACATCAAGTAGATATTGAGGAAAATGGTAGATAATTACAAACAATGACATAAGATGATGATGTTTTCACCGCTCGGGTATCGTACCACGGTTCGCACGTCAAATAGGGAAACTCCCTACCTATTGGTTTATGGTACTGAAGCGGTTATTCCTGCCGAAGTAGAAATCTCTTCTTTAAGAATTACACAAGAAGCTGAGCTCAGCAATGCAGAATGGGTACAGAGCTGCTACGAACAACTAGCTCTCATTGATGGGAAAATAATGAATGTGGTATGTCACAGTCAACTCTACCAGAACAGGATGGCAAGAGCTTTCAACAAAAAGGTTAGACCAAGGCAATTCACACCGGGGCAATTGGTGAATCTTCCCACATCAAGATGAAGCCAAGGAGAAGTTTTCACCTAATTGCCAAGGTCACTATATGTCACGACCCATTTTTCCCTTCCGAAAGATGTCGTGACTGCACCTAGTCGCTACGAATAGGTAAGCCTATTAACATTGAAATAACATAAATAAAGAAAATAAAGGAACATCTAAGCTTCGATAATAACTATATAATGGTAAAATGCCGCTCGGCATATACACGTGAGTCCAATACGTGATTTTACACAATACTTCCCAAAACCCGTAATCACGAGTCATAAGCTCTACGAGTAACTATCTACCGTCTGCTATACATAGATTCTAAAATAATAAAGGAGGTAAAACAGAGTAAAGGTAGAGTGGGACTCCGAGGATCTGCGGACGCATGCAGATATACCTTGAAGTCTCCGGTGGGCTGCTGCGGCTGCACTAATACTGAGGCGGATGAGAGGTACCTGAATATGCACACGAAAACGTGAGTACACCACAATGGTACCCAGTAAGTACCAAACCTAACCTCGGTCGAGTAGTGACGAGGTCAGGTCAGGACCCTACTGGTATAAACATAATGAAATAAGATAGAAAGAATTATTACAGTAAAATAAATACGAAAATCTAACAGGAATAGAATTCAATGGGAGCCAACATCTCAGAACACAGTAATAGCAACAGGAGATCTCCCGGGATACCGTCCCATAGTCCCAAACGTAAATGTGCAAGGGGTGATCTCCCGGAATATCGTTTCGTAGTCCCAAAGTAAATATGCAGTGCTGGGAGATCTCCCCGAATACCGTTCTGTAGTCCCAAAGTAAATATGCAGTACAGGGGGATCTCCCAGAATACCGTTCTATAGTCCCAAAGTAAATATGTAGCCCAACTAATATAAATAACAGTTACAACAAGGATATCTACAGCTTAGACTAAGTTCACATCAAATAAATCAGGAAAATTTACTAAACATGCTGCACAGAGATCAAATAGGCAGTTAAAACACGTAGATATGCCTTTCGAATCTAAACAGGGTAGTTACATAAGCTACTGTATTTCAAAAAAGAAAAAACAGGTTATGATTTAGTGAAAAATGGAGTTTTACAACAAATAGCCCGTATGCGTACTCGTCACCTCACGTACATGGCGCTCATATATCAAACAATACAAAATCCTAAAGGGAATTTCCCCACACAAGGTTAGGCAAGCCACTTATCTCAAATCAAGCTCAATTCAATCCGAAATCATGATCTTGCCACGAGTATCAAACTCCGAGTGACCCAAATCTAATCAAATTAATTATATGTTGATTGTACCGAACTGTTTGTGGCTAAATTTGAGACATTTGGAGGCCAATTCACAAGGCAAGAACGTGTTGGAGTAGGGATTTTTATAGTTTGAGGTAAGTAACAGTTCTAAATTTTATTGTAAGGGTATAAAACCCCCTAATATATGTGATGTGGTTTGTTTTTAGGTGATGCACATGCTAGGTGATGGGCGTGTGGGCGTGCACCGTAGGAATTACGACTTGGTCAATTCCATGGAACTGAATAGTTGAAAATTTTGTTGTTATCTGTATATTCTCCATGTGTTATAGAAATTGAACTACAAATCATATTAGAAATCATGTTTAGACTATGTGTTGGCACTATAGGGACCCACAAAGGCCGTGTACATATTAAATTATCTGCTAAATTGTTATTTTGTACTCAGTCATAGTTTTACTTGTATATTACATCTAAGTCTCTATTGTTCATTATTGACACATTATATCATTTTGTTTGGACTGATTATCATGATTACTAAGAGCCCAAGAAACTAGAGATGTTGATGACTGAGTGAGATCGAGGGCATGATTTTGTGAGGATATTTATGGGATCGGGCTGCACGCCGCAATATATTTTTTATTGATTTATGCCATGATTAGCTTGTTATAGCGATTGGGCTGAAGGAGCCCCTCTGGAGTTTGTACACACCTTAGTGAGCGCAGGTACCTACTGAGTATGAGTGCCGAGCGATTCAGAGGAATGAGAGACTGTAAGGAATGAGTGACTGTGAAGTTGGAGTGCATGGGAGGACTGGGTGACTGCTGCTTTGAGATTTTGGCACTTGATTTCATTACTGTTGTACTTCAACTGGCATATATCATTTTCATGTAATTTCTGAGAGATATTATATCATGTTTCAATTGAACTTGACATGAATTAACTGTTTTTGTTTTAATTGTCAAATTTGAAAGCATGCCTATATTTCTATGTTGAAATTTCTGTAATTGAGCTATATCCGTGAAGCTCGTCACTACTTTCAGTCTATTATTTAGTCTTGTTACTTACTGAGTTGGTTATACTCACGCTACACCCTGCACTTCGTGTGCAGATTCAGGTGTTTCCGGACACAGTGAATGTTGATTTCTTTGCATAGCTTGATCGTTTGGAGATTTCAAGGTAGCCGCCTGGCGTTCACAGACCTTGTCTCTTCTTCCTTATATTTATTCTTTATGTATTAAGTTTTACTCTTTCATAGACATTATCTCTAGACTCAGTGTTATATAGACGCTCATGTACTCAGTGACACCCCGATTTTGAGAATTTTCGTATTGGGTTTTGATTTTCTATCTAGTTTTTGAGAGTTTTGATGATTTAAATATGTGTTATTCTTCTTTTTCATTTAAAAATGTTGGAAGTATTTTGAAGTGTCGGCTTGCCTAGTACTATGTTAGGCGTCATCACGACATGCTAAGTTTTTGATCGTGACAAGAAAATCACTTATTACTTGGTAGAAGAATGAAATATATCCAACATAAAACAGATATAAATAATGACAACGCATTTGAAAGATCTACCCAAATATCCAACATAAGAAGTAAACCAAGAGATATCTAGCAACATTCCTTCACCAATAACTATGTAAAATAAATAAAGGAATAAAGAGAAAGAAGGAAAAATTAGCACAAATCACAGGTACAACAACTCCAAAACTAAAGAGCAAATGGAGAAATCTAGAAATAAAATAAAATCTAATGGCCAGAAAGAGAAAGAAACATAGGAAAAAAGCTGAAACAGAGTAATAATCGAGTAAAATAACCTTAAATGAAACTCTAAGCTGAACTTCAGAGAGGGACTTACCTGATTTTGAATTTCTCTTCACGTTGCTATGCTTTGGTTAAAGGGGGATCTTCTCTCTACAACTCTTCTTTGTGCTTTGCTTCGCTAATGATGGATTGCTTCGGAATAGTGGGGAACAAGGCAGAGATGAGATAGGAGAATTTGAAGCTAGATACACAAATAAAAACGTGTTCATTCAATTCCACCTCAACAGGACACGTAAGTTATTAAAAGTACTATGAAAAGACATAAATACCCTTGATTTTGATTTTAAAGACAAAAACAAGCAGGGCAAAACCGTAGCTTTTCTATTATATAGAAACTAGTTAAATTGTCCGCGCTTCGCGCAGTGAAATATCAGTGCATTACAAAGTGATTCTCTTAACAAATTTAGTCAAGATTAAAAATTTATAACTTTCATGACACCAATAATATAAAAGATAATGTAAGACATACATATAAAAAAAAAATTATATTAGTAATTGTAATTTTTGTAATTTTATAAATTAAGCCTTTAAATCCTGTTAAGTGTTATTCATAAGTAATACTATACTAATTATTATAGATAATAATATTTAGTAGTGATTGTATTTAGAGGCAAATACTGTTCCTTGGTAATATATAGTAATTATTACAAACAATAATATTTATTAGACTTTTGGCGTAGGTAAGTCGTCTTGCCTTCCAATCCCAACTTAATGTTGTTCCCAAGAGAATAATGCATCACACCCTTAGGGGTCGTTTGATACGCGAACTAAATTATTTCGAGATTATAATCTCCTGACTAATTTATCCTACCAGGGAAGTAGAATAATATAATCCCAAATTTGATGGGATAAGGTGGATATCTTGTATTAAGACTGTGATTAAATTTATATCATGTTTGGTTGACAGTATATATTTATCCTGGAATAAATTTATACTGTTAACCAAATATGGTATAAATTTAATCTCACATCTTATTCCATCTTATCCCGCGCACCAAACGATCTCTTAGGGTGTGACCCTTCTCCTAATCTTGCGTGAACGTGAAATGCATGTGTGTGCCGAATTGCCCTTTAATATTTATTAGTAATTAAATTTAACTTTTAAAATTTTAAAATAATATTTATCTTATTTTATTATTAACATTTACCTTTTTGCCTTCTATTCCTACTTAATGTTGTTCCCTAGAGCATAATGCATCACACCTTAGGGGTACGATCCTTCCCGGGATCATACGTGAACGTGAGATGTATTGTGCACCGAGTTACTCTTTAATATTTATTAGTAATTAGATATATATCCTTCTAAATTTTAAAATAATATTTAACTCATTTAAGTATTAACACTTTTTTTTCCTTTTCTGTACTTTGTTGTCATGTAAGTTTTTTTGTCATATAAGTCTTACCTATAGAGATGCAACAATAATTTATGTTCCCCTTAAAACATGTAAAGAATTTTTAAGCATACGTAATAAATTTTAAACATTATTTTTCCTTACTATATTTATATAAGTATCTAAAAATAATTATTAGAGAATTAAATTTTTATGGTATTATGATTTTTCCTTGTAAGGCAACTAAAAGAGAAACAAAGCAAATCCAAATCCTTTGGCGCAAATTCAAAAAATAAAAAAACTGCACCTTAACATGTGTATATAAGTATCTAATTTTTTTCCATAGCGAATTAAATTTTATTGTCTTATGATTTTTCCTTGTAAGGCAAGAAAAAAATAAACAAAAAACCCGAATCCCTCTGTCACAAATTCACAAACCAAAATTTTATGAGTCTTATCTATAAGTTTTTTGGCTTTCTTTTTCTTTTATTTTTTTTCTTTCTAAATTACCTAACCGGCCTCTTCATTTTATTAGAGAAACTATCAAATTTCCCTTTTTTCTAGCTTGGTAA